CTGCAGACATCTACATAGCAAACCACTAACCAGCTCCTGTCCACCATTGGTGTCCACTTGCTAGACATCTCACAATTTGAGGCCCCTACAGACTCAATTTCCTTCATTTTGTTACTTTCTAAAATTGTGCTATTCTGTTACGGATGTTAAGAGGGAGCTCTGAGCCACTGCTGAGATGGACTCATTTCCCATGTGCACATGAGCTACACACGTCACTACGCTGACTGCTTTGGTTTTCTGCACTGGACCTGTTATGGAGACCTGGCCAAAAATTCAGAATGGCAGGAGGAAAATTATTTTTTCCTTCCCTACTGTAGGAAACTGAGTCAAGCACATTATTTCATGGAGTGCTCGAAGCTTAGCCTGGCGAATAACCTACTGTGATCTTTGCACTGTGTTCAAATGACAGTAATAGAACAGCCTCCTGGGAGGCTCTCAGTGCTGCCAGGCCATGGGTCACTTTGTCTCAGTTCTCTGGCTTGCCTAGCATCTCTTTCCTGTAGAAGGAGCTAAAGGAAAGTGGGAGGTAGGACTTCCTGGAGGATCCTTTTGGTCTTATTGTTTTGGGAGCTCATACATTTTCCTCCTTTTTTAAAAAAAATTGTTATAAAGGAGTTACAATTACTTAAGCCAGGTAAACAGTATCTCTTTCCTCCCTTCTTTCCTTCCTTTTCCTTTCTCCTCTCTCTCTCTCTCTCTCTCTCTCCCCTTCCTTTCTTTTTTTGTCGGTTGTAGGGCTTGAACTCTGGGCTTGGGCGCTGTCCTTGAGCTCTCCAGCTCAAGGCTAGTGCTCTACCACTTAAGCCACAGCATCCCTTCTAGTTTTCTGGTGGTTTGTTGAAGATAATAGTCTCAGGGACTTGCCTGCCTGGGCTGGCTTTGAACTGTGATCCTCAGATCTCAGCCTTCTGAGTAGCTAGGATCTCAGGCATGAGCCACTGGCACCCAGCAACAGTCCATTTCTTTTTGGACAATGTCACCCCTTCTCCTGAGGAGTCTTTGGATGCTCTCTGAAGAGGAGCATCTCAACCAGGGGAAATTCTGATCATTTTGAGAAAGACCCAAGATCCTCTCCTTTTTGTTTTTGGTCAATCCTGGGTCTTGAACTCAGGGCCTAGGTGCTGACCCTGAACTTCTTTTGCTCTAGGCTAGCACTCTTCCACTTGAGCCACAGCACCACTTCTGGCTTTTTTTTCTGAGTAGTTTATTGGAGATGAGAGTCTCACGGACTTTCCTACCTAGGCTGGCTTCAAACTGTGATCCTCAAATCTCAGCTTCCTGAGTAGCTACAATTGCAGTTGTAAACTTACACTGGCACCCAGCTCAAGGATCCTCTCCTCCTTAACTAGATTCTTCTGCAAGTATGCTAAGCCCTAGACACCACAGCTAAGGGGGGGTGGGAGCTGCTTGGATGAAGGGCCAAGGTGAAAAGGCACTTTCAGGACCTGCTCCTGGGATTTGACTTCTGTGCAGAAAACATGCTCTTTTTGTGCTTGTTGATCTTCTGAAGATCTCCAAGCACTGTGACTGGTGTAGGCAGCAGCCTGCCCTGGAATAAGGCTTGATGGACCATCTCTTCTAGAAGCTTCTGTGGGCATACTGAAAACTCTTCCCAGAACAGAACTGCTAAAGAGGGGAGTCTTTTTCCTGTCTGATTTAGTGGAAAAGCCTAAGCCATACCTAGAATGGAACTAGAACCAAAGAAATCTCTCTCATTGCATCCAGGGCAGTCAGGGAAGCAGCACAAGGTAGCAGAGAACCTGTTCCTAGGTCAAAGTTTCTTTCATAAGTATCTGAAGCCTAGCTCCTTAAAGCCAAGCCTTCCGCCGGCAGTAGGTTTTCTTCAGCCTCCAGTTCCACCCTACAGGCTATAGAGCCAAATCTAGCACCAGGAAAGCATACTAGGAATATCTCCACCTTCTTCCCAGACCCCAGAGAGGATCACCCAGGACTTGGGGTTATTCTTCCAGCCCAGCATAATGGTAGCTGAGATCCCAAGGAAGGGGCAATTTTCTTTCTCCTTGTGCCTATCAGAGGCCATGTGCTCATAATGCTAATGGTGGGGTTAATGTCCTCCCTAGGAACCTGTCTTAGCAAGGACTCCACAGTGGGGACAGGTTCCCCTTATTTTCTTTTCTCTGAATAATTCTCTAAGGATGCACTAAGCCCCAGACTGAGACAACTGATGTGTCTCTCATTCTCTATTTTCAACAACAGCAACAAAAAAACCGCAGAATATTTTTGTATATATACCAAGCTCTCTGACTAGTTGATGTCTTGATCATGTTTAAAAGAAGTCTTAAGATTGTATCTTTTTATTCCCAGTGCTGTGATTGATTAGTAATGTCTGTCAGTGGAGAGGGACTGGAAAACAATTGTGTGTGTTGTCTCTTGCTTTCTTCTTATTGCAGACTTCCACACGCATATCTCATTTGATTAAAACAATACAATGGCCTGGGAGTACTGAAGATTATTATCTATTTTCAAAAGGAGCCTACAAGTTACCCACATAAATCAGTCACCCAAGTAAATCAAGGCCAGAGTCAGGATTAGATCCCAGGTCAGTTAAGGGAAGACACACAGACTGGGGAACACTTGAGATGAACATGCCAAAATGTTCACATATCTTTGGGAAAATATGTTTAGTAAATCTTCCCTAGGACTGCAATTTGTTATTCTTTATGCGTATGTGTGGGATGCTGGCAGGAACAAACCGAGTAGAAAGGGAGTGGGCTGCCCACACAGAAGCTGACTGCCCCTCTGGTTGCTGGTAACTTTAAAAAGTGGGCAGGCCTGGCAATGCCTTGTTCCAATTTCATCAAATCAGCAAGGCACCCCAGGAAGAGAAAAGGGACCATTTCAGTAACATCTGCAGGAGCCACTCTGGACAGCTATTCAGTTACCATGGAAACACACTGTTGGAAACTGCTTCCATTTCAAGAAAATAGCTACAAACAGTAATAAGCATAAATGAAAAATGGTACACTTTTACTTCAAAATTGTACTTGTTATTGGATTTTTCCAGGTTTTAGGGGCTCAGACGGCAGGCTCATATCCTTGAACGCAGTGGAAGGCAGACATCTCTGCCTGGCTCCAGGCCTAATGCCAGTCCACATCCTCCCTCCTGCTTCTATAATCAGTTTCTGGATGAGATCTCTGGCAAGGCATTTATCAGAGATGCTAATGTTTGAATTGCCAGAGAAAGAACATTTGCTGAATCCATCCAGGACAACAAAGAGTCACTGGAAGGGAGTGGGTTATGATGGGAATGGGAATGGGTTTTCTTCAACTGGGCTAAATATTCACACAGGCCTAAGCCAGCAGAAACCAGGCAGTAGGAAATCTGTTTTATTCTGGGAATCTGTTTTATTCTATTTTCAAAGATTCTTGGGGTTGGAAAAGACCTTACAAAGACAATTTGGTTCAGTCCCTTCCCCAAATCAGGTTTCCATTTTCTTGGCAACATCCTTACTAGTATTAGTGATTATATCCCTGAGCTCTTCTAAGAGTTATAACTTGAAATCCAACTCAGCACACATCAGACCCCTCCTGCACTGGGGCCATTCAGCCATCTGGAGCATTCTCCTGATTCTTCTGTGTTCTCCATGTGATAGATTTCAGTGATACCTGGGCTGGGAATGTGGCCTAGGGGTAGAGCGCTTGCCTAGCATGCATGAAAGCCCTGGGTTCAATTCCTCAGTACCACATAAACAAACAAACAAACAAAAACAGAAGTGGAGTAGTGGCTCAAGTAGTAGAGTGCTAGCCTTGAGCAAAAGAAGCTTAGGGACAGTGCCCAGGCCCTAAGTTCAAGTGCCAGGACTGGCAAGAAAGAAAAAAATTTTTTTTTCAGTGATACCCTAATGGCTGGGACTCATCAAAGGGAGGCATCTGAGGCAGAATCTAGACCAAGGCAGGGGAACCCAACATGGGTTCCTAAATCATCTTCCAAAAATCACTAGTGGTAGAATACCTGCTTGGCAAATACAAGGCATTTGTCCTGCTACTGCTCTCTGGAGGTAGCTAAGAGGCAGAAGGAAAAGGTTATCTCTAGGGGTCTACTGTACTATATGATACGGTTAAAACAACAACAACAACAACAATAATAATAAAATGCTGGATGCCTATAATCCTAGCTACTTAGGAAGCTGAGATCTGAGGATCAGGTTCAAAGCCAGCCTAGGCAGAAAAGTCCCTATGAGAGTCTTATCTCCCATTACCCACTCAAAAACCAGAAATGGTTCTGTGGCTCATATAAGTACATGCTAGCCTTGAGCAAAAGAGCTCAGGGACAGTGCCTAGGCCCTGAGTTCAAGCCCCAGGACTGACAAAGACAAAAAATAATCTGGACCACAGAATCTCTACTAGATCCATATGTAAAATCAAGGTTCAGAGAAGGTAGATGACTTGCCTATCATCACCCAGGTGGAGAGGGACAAAGCCAGGATGAGATCATTAACATCCTATTTCCCGACCTCCAAACCTTTCTCCAGGGAGGTCTCTGTGACTTGAGTACTCAAGGTCTGAATTCATGCCCTAAGACTAGGGGCTGCTGGATACTTATGCCAGTCTCAAAATGTGCTTATATCAGGTCTGACTTGACCCACCCTAAAACATTCTCATCAAGGAGAGAGAGCTCCTCTGAAATGGAGACAGCTCTAATAGGGGGGAGTCTGAGAACACCCCAAAGGAATTGCCTAGAGTCTGGAATAGCTTCCAGAGCAAGGAAGCAAGGAGTAACAATGAAATCTCTGTGGGGCTAGAACACTTTACAGAACATTATGGCAAAAAGAAGTCACCCAAAATACCAACCAATCTTTCTACATTTCTGTCAATGTATTTCTTAACGAGAGGGGAACAACCTGTACCTACAACGCAGACAGCTGCCTCTCCAGAGAGCAGAGAGGAAGTCGCCTCTCCCAATACAGGGAACCAAGGTGGCAAGGTGCTGGCATGTGTTAGGGGGGCTATAAGGGATTAGGGTGGGAGGGCTGACTCACCAGGCTGTGCATGATGCGTACTCCTTCAGGGTTCACTGTGAGCGCTTCCTTGTATAGCTGCTTGGCCTCTTCCAAGCTGCCCTTCACCTCAGCCAGCCGACCCCGCATGTAGAGCACTGAATGAGAGGTGGGGAAGAGGCCTGCCGCCTCCTGGATGCAAAAACCTGCTTCCTTGAGGTGTTTCTGCTCCATGAACAGCTCAGCTGTGAACCAGAGGGTCAGTGGAAGTGTGAGCAGGGGGAAGTCAGAGGTGGCCTCAGCCTGCACTGCTAAAGATGGGGAACTGGACCTATCCCACCAAGTGACAGCCCAGGATGAACTTGCTATGGTGTGCAGGATAATGTGTTCTGAGCATCTCCTCTGCCGCAGGCACTGTATTGGGTGAGAAATCCAGACCACCTCAGTCCATGCTTGCTCCAGTGCTTGGAGAACAAGTACGTTCACTACCCACTGATAGTTAGGAAGCTGAGTGCAGGGAGGTTAGGGCACTTGTCCACAGCGAGAGCATGTGATAAAGCCTGGGTTTGTCAGGCTGACTTCAGAGCCTGGTAGTGGTGACACAAGTGGTGTCCCCTGGGGCTGAGCATGTGCTCAGAGGTCTCTGACTTGTGTTCCAGTGTCCTTTCATTTCACTTGATCTTGCTGTCTGGGCAGAGGGGGTAGAAGCAGATGGGACAGCTCTCCCCGAGGCCTCTCAGCCTTGAGTGGGAGGAACAGAGGCGTGGGATATATGGTATGGGACAGCACCGAGAGAGAACTAAATGATCACAGTGACAAAGGCAGTGACTTGCATTTATGGAGAGCTGAGCTGCTCTTAATTTGCAAAATATTTTCTGTCATGAATCCTCTAGTCTTGGAGGGAGACAGGTACAGTCAGAATCCTTACCCCATCTCCACTGTGAGAAGGGGCAACTTGGGGACTAGTTTTCCCCTTGGCCTCCCTCCATAGCTGACACAAACATTTTTGGCTAGCAGGGAGGACCAGATCTGCCTCACAAGAGATCAGTGGGGAAAGGAGTTGTTTCTCCCCTGCCCCCTCCCCCCCAGGGCAGCCCACAGAAATGTACATTTCAGCCACATGCTGCTCAGGCGCACACCCACAGCAGGTACTTTTAGACAGGCTGCTTGTCGGCCCCCAGCCCACTCTGCCTTCCTTTCAAAGCAGCCCCCGGGCTCAGCTGCCCCTCCCGGAGCTGGTGCCCATGCGGAAGTCACAGAAGGATGGCAACACAGATGGGGAGCGAGGGAGGCCAGCAGAATCTGGCTTGCGACTGTGCCAAGAGCTTTTCCTAGCAAGGGCTGAGAGCTGAGGTTACACCAGTTCAGATCATGTCTGGGATGGGCTAGATAACAGATAATACCAATGAAAACTTGCAGAGGGAGGTGGACAAAGGGAACCCAGGCATCCCCTCTGCTTGCCCTGATAAGCAGCAAAAGGAAGGAAGGCTAAAGCCTTGATTGCAGTGCATGGCACTGCGGGGCGGGGGTTTCTCAGCAAGAACACTGCCTGAGGTTCACTGTGCAATCTGAGCAGCTTCTTGCTGCATCCAAAAATGTCACCAGGGGCTTTTGGAGCAAGGGTATTGTTTTTCTTATGGTGATGAGAACTTGGGGAGATCTGAGAATTAAATACAGAAGAGCCAGGTTCCCACATGGTGGGAGAGATGGACACAGGATACAGACAGGCTGACATGGAGGCTCCAAAGGTAGACAGTAGAGGAATGTGAAGCCAGGGTTTTCAGTCCAGGACCTTGCGGCGGGGGGCGGGGGTGGTGGTGGTAGAGGTGGGGTGGGGGGGTTGGGAGTAGGGGTAAGGATGGACCAGAGATCAGCAATTGGCATATTTCAGCTTCAGCTCTTCTCTGCTCTTCTCTGTTAAGCTGCTGCTGAGGCTCTGAGAAGGTTGCCTTCATACCTAAATATCCACTGTGTATGTCCTGAGCACTGACTGTATGCCTGCATCTTCCCACAAGGATTAAAAACGGGTGGAAATGGGGGCTGCTGAATGACCAAACCATCTAAGAGATCCAGAGCAGTGAAGTGACAACCGGCATTCAGGATGGGACAGACCAGTGATAGTAGCTAGTGTGGTTAATAAGGAGGTCTTCCTGGAGGATGCTGCACTTGAGTTGGCAGGGAGGAAAAGGGAGGGGAGGACCAGATTACACCATGGCAGAATCCCCAAGGGTCACAGGAGGAGAGGGGAGGAACAGAAAGAAGTGTGAAGCGTATGGTGTGAGTGTTGGGGTTAGGACTGCTGCTCCTGCATCAGGCCTGTGGTTATATCCTCTATGACAGGAGCTCAGCTGGTCCAGGGCTCAGGGATCAGGCTTTCTCCATGTTTAGAACTTACCCAGCAGTCCCACCCAGGCTGGGCTCGACTTGGCCCTGGCATGGCTCATTAAACTGTTTACAACTTGCTACACTGCCTCCCAAGCCCTCAGGAGGCTATCCCCTAGTCCCTGCCTTGGGGATTTCTCATGGTGTGTACGCATCAACAGATTTCAATTCGAGTACTGGAACTTTGAGCTTTCTAAGGCTCTGGGCCCTACTGAGAGGCCACAGGCTAGGAAAGATGCCCTGAAAGATAGGTAGGCTGCTCTGTTTGGATGGGCTTCATCACCACTCAGGGAGCAAAGCAGATGACACAAAACAGAACCAGAGAAACAAACATGGGTCTTGCCACATTGCAGACAGCCCTCTCAGGTCCCACCTCCAGGCAGTCGCTTCTGACCCACATGTCTGCTGTGTATCCCTTCTGTCTAGGCTCAGTGTCTTTGGGCAAATGCTCCCAGCTCCTGTTTGCTATTTTACCAAACATGGTTCTCCCAGACAGCCGGCTGAAGCTGCAGCAGGAGCCCTATGGCATAGCACTCACCATCTCCTGGATCTTTTCTCTCCTATCCTTGCCAGACCACACCAATGGCTTGCCCTGGATGCGCCTACTAATTTTCCTTGATTTGTCTTGTCCAGGTCATCTCTCCAGCAAGCAGAGCCTTGCTTCTTCCTGAGTGACAAAGGGCCCTTTGGATTCCAGTTGGCGCCTTGACTCTCCCTCCCTCCCTTTCTCTTCTCTCACTGCCCTCTCTGCTTACTTACTTCCCTCTTGCTTGTCTCCGACTTTCTTCCTCTTTGCTGCTCCTTCTCTCTCCCCCCGCCTCCCTTTTTCCTTCTGTGCTTTCTCTCTTCAGGCTACAAATGGAAAACATCTGTTCCCTGGAGCTTTGCAAGAGTCCCTTTTATTTTTTATTTATTTATTTAGTTTTTTGTCGGTCATGGGGCCTGAACTCTGGGCCTGGGCGCTGTCCCTCAGCTTTTCAGCTCAAGGCTAGCACTCTACCACTTGAGCCACAGCACCACTTCTGGCTTTTTCTGCTTATGTGGTACTGAGGAATCGAACCCAGTGCTTCAGGCATGCAAGGGAAGCACTCTACCATTGAGCCACCTTCCCAGCCCAAGAGTCCCTTTTATTCTTCTGAGACATCCTGGTCTAACCCTGCACCTGAAGCTGGTTACAGTCTTCTGCTGTTCTTGCCAAAAGAAGCCTTGCAAACTTGTAAGAGCACTGAGAAGCCCCTGGGGTAGAAGGGAACATAGATTAGGTCCTCAAGCCAACCTTGATCCCCAGTAGGAGCAGTTTTTCTGATTCCAAAGGAAATAAGCAGCCCTCCTAATGAAGCAGATCCTTAGGACATATGGACACTTAGAATAAAGGAGAGGAAACGGTGACAAGAGGACAAAGAGGAATAAATACAAGTCAGAGGCCTAAGATGGAGAAAGACTAGAGTCCCAGAGAATCCAAAGGTGGCACAGGTACCCCTCCAGCCCTGGGGCTCAGAAAGCACAACAAACGGAGGCAACTTGGGCCTGGGGTCTACTTCCTGTCCTGAGAGGGCTGACTGGGGAGTTTGGGAGGGGGGAGGAGCAAGAGAAGGGTCCTCCATGGCACAGAAGGCAGAAGGGAGGGAGCAGAGTAGGGTTTTAGAAAAGAGGGAAGAACCAAGGAAGATAAAGGAAAGAATGAAGAGCAGAGTATGTGAAGAGGAAAGAGAGTGCAGAGCCAAGGGAAGCTTGCTACTCTTTGACTGTAAGTTTATAGTAAGCATCAGCCTGTGTGGCCCACAGCTGGCTGGCACTAGTACCCTGGCTCTTTCTTTATGTGCCCTAGACTGCAAGTGTAAGTCATTTCAGCTATTAGTGGGGGCGAAGGGTCCTGAGGACATGTGCTTTACCTAGTCATGTGGGGAGGTTTAGAGAGAAGTCATGGTGGTGTTGGTGACAGGTATGCCGTAGATGCTGGTGATGGTGGCAGCAGAAGGGTGAGGTAGGAAGAGCTTCAGAGTCCTCACATGCTCACACCAACACTGGTCTACCTGTCTCTTATAAGATCCCCTGGTTTCTAACAAGATACATGGATCCCAGAATAATGGCACCTGCTAGCGTTCTTTGCAGTTCACAGTAATCCATTAGTGGAGTTTTGGCCAATGGATGACAAAGGAAAGTCAAAGTATGCCAATTCCAGGTATATATTCACAAGCAGAGACACCTTCCTCCTCTTGTCTATATTTATCTTATGCTTGGAATTGTGAATGTGGACCTCATGGACAAGAGTAGCACTTGAAGAACGACAGCACTATCTGTCATCCAGTTAAGACTATCACCTTTGAATTGTTGAAGAAATAAGCATCCCCTGTGGGTAAGCCACTATGATTGTAGATCTGCCACCTGCCTCCAGATCTATCTCCTAATATTGCACTGTCCAGACTTTACCTGGGGCTGTATTCTCAGTCTTTCCTGTGGAGTGAATGACATCTAGGATAACATCCCAAGAAAAAAATGCTAATGTGAGACTTAGTGAAGGGCGTGTGTTTATACTACATAGCTGATGCCAGGCTTTATACTGACATGGCTGATGCCAGGCTTTAGGAAGGCTTTTCACCCTCCTTCTCACCAGCACATTGCAGCACCACTGTATAAAGCAATATAACCCAAAACAGCAAGCAGGCTATGATGTGCAAAAAAGGTGTTCTACTGCAAAACCAAGGCAAAGTGATAAAAGCAAAGACCTTGGGAGCTGCAGCATGAGCTGAGCTCACTGTTGTTATAAATGCGCTGCTTGGAGCTGCTAAGGCCCCCAGCATAGGTGCAGCTTTCTACCCCACACACTCTATTCTTCTTCTTTTTTTTTTTCAATAAGGTTTTTATTGTGAAAATACTGTACAGAGGGGTTACAATCACATGAGCAAGGTAATGAGTACATTTCTTATCAAGCATTGTTGCCTCCTCCTTTGTTTTTCCCCTACCATCCCTTCCCTTCCATCTCCACAACTATATTCTGCCCTCTCCCCCAGACACTCTATTCTGAAGATACATTTTTCTTTTGCCCTAGTCCAGTTTGGCACCAAATCTTAGAAGAGGATGGGGGATCTTTGCCTAGGAAGAGGCTGGGTTTATTATTATTATTCTGTATTCTTCAACATTCATCTTCCTGCTGAAGATCCAACAAGCTGTGGAGCTATTCTCACCCACTCCATCCCTAGCATCCTAAGGAACCCCGAGATGCCAAGGGGGGAATATATGCATTATTACAATGCTCCATGTGTAGCCTTTCTGTGAATCCTGGTCTAATTTTTCCCCCATATTCAGAACTGATGATGGAAAGAGCGGAGGCGTGCTGCATACTAATGTGTCCATATGTAGAAAACACACCGGGACCTTAGCTTCTCAGCTAACAAGCACATTCTAATGCTGACTTGTTAACTCCTCCGTGCTGTCTATGTAACTGATCATCTTCCTTCTACTTGGGACTATAGTCCACCCCTGTGGTGGGAAGGGAAGCAGGGAAAAGGTGAGCAGGACATAAAGGAGGTGGTGCCCTTGGGCCTGGGTCAGCTTGGGACGTCCCTTGGCAGCTCTAGACTGGCTGGCCTGGAACAGGTTTAGGGTTCCTGTTGGTTTCTTGTCTTTTTCCTTTCTTCTGCCACAGCTGCCATTTTGTCTTACTCTGGCATGTCATTTTTGGCCCGGATTCTTTCCCTTTTCACTCTATTCCAACTCTCACACTATTACCAGGTCAAGTTGTCAAACATTTTTCAGTGAGTCACTTCTTGGCATTCCTCAGCCAAGCACAGGGAGACTGAGTCCTCTGCCTCTACCATGACCACGATGGGGGTCAAGTGCATGTCTGAGCACTTGCTACGCGTTACACTAACGGCTTCACACATTCACTAATTTCAGATCATATCTGGACAGTCTGGAGCTGGCATTGGGACCAAGTCTGTATGACATTGAAGCCTAGGATCCCAGAAGCCAGCCACTCTCTAGCTTTGTAAACTCTCTAGTATCAATGGCGTCAGCTAGTGATGGAAAGGAATGCCACTTGGATGGGAGTGTCCATCACCAGCCCTCTGGCCTTTCCATCTGTGTGGCTTCTCTTGATCTCAAAGCCTGCCACATTTGTATCCCCACAAAAAAACCAGGTGCTCTCCTCCCTGGGCAGAGAAAGAAACAAGACAAGTGGAGGATGCCAGGGACTGAGGATCCTGGAACATCCATGGGCCTGGTGTCATTCTGCGTAGGAAGCTAGGCCCTTGCATGTAGCCTCTCAAGTAGAAACCCCACTCTCTAGGCTGGGATGGGGGAGCTGGAAAAAGGGCAGGTAAGTTGGGAATCAGCTAGGACTGTAACTCCAGGTTCCAGATCCCAGAGACCAAGCCCGTATGAGCATGGGCAGGAATCCCCATCTGTCTACTTGGAGTCCCACGGTGGTTTCAGCTAGATAGGTGGATATCACTGGGACCCAGCTCCCCAACTGGGACCAGAAACACTCACCAGCCTGGAGCCAGATCTGTTCCAGTGTTGTCCACAGCTGCATGGGGCCCTGTTTCAGGACTGAGGTAGGCATGGTCAACTCCGACATGGCCTCCTCCAATCGTGAGGCTGCAATGGATGATGCCCGCCGAGAGCCTGAAGAGCAAGAGGGCAGGGGACTGAACAGCCGAGTCAGGGTGTCATGCACTACAGGCTCAGAAGCAGCCAGTGTCCAGCTCCTTAGAAACAACAGAGCACCAGAGGCAGGGCAGGGCAGGGCAGGGCAGGGCAGGGCAACTCAGCCTGACAGCCAGAGAATAGCCCACAGATCACTAGGAAGGTCCCACTGTCTATTACCCACCAAATCTGGGAGAAATCCCACTGAGACTCTATCCCAAAGGAAAACAATCACAAATGGCAGCAAAGGCACTCATTTGACATCTGCTTGTGACTCTGAACACAACAGAAATTACCGAATCAACAATAGGGACTGACTTAAAATAATTGAGGGGACAACCATCAGAAGTTCTCCTCATAGTAATAAAGTATATGTGGAAAATGGTATGTGTAGCTACTGATGTGAAAAAGTGTTCCCATTATACAGTCAGGAGCAAAACAGAATTTACAAAAGAATATAGTCACATTTGTATAAAAAGTAAATATGGGAATCCATGGATAAAAGGGTCCTTTACTGAGGTCTGGTAAAAAAAGAAACAATAGGGATGTCTTTTTTCTTTTTCTTTTCTCCTGCTCTTTTCCCAAGTGCACATTACTGTTTCAAACAGCAAAATGAAGGATCCTTGGGAAATGGCTCTTACTGTCAGAGAACCTGTCCCGTAGCAGTGCTGGGTGGTGTGAGTCCCTGCTCAGGGTATAAGCTATTGACATTTTACATTTCCTCTGCAGATGAAGTGTGAGCACCTGCTTTCTGAGACATTATAGACTCTAATAGGCTCAGGAGCCTTCAGATAAACCGCAGGCAACTTCAGTTTATGACACAAGCATATGAATAGTTCTAAGGAATTCCGCATGACTTTAATTGCAAGGGAGCAACCCCTTAACCCTCTCCTCCTCAGGGTAGGTAGAATTCTGTATGTACTCCACATCACTCTTGGGATGCACCTCTCAAGTCAGGCGTTGAGTCTAGCTATTGAAACCCTTTCCATCACTCGACAATGAAAGTGCAATTCAGCTCAGGTACACAGAAGTGAAAGAAAGGAGCAAATGCATGAAATACCTCTCCACTCACTTTCACCCCACAACTAATTCTTGCATTTTTGAGGAAGGTGTTCTGCTTTCATCAGGACCTTTGCTTGTGAGTGTGTGTGTGTGTGTGTGTGTGTGTATGTGTGTGTGTATGTGTGTGTGTGTGAGTGTGTGTGTGTGTGTGTGTGTGTGTGTGTGTGTGTATGTTTGAAGTTCCTGAACCATTTGAATTTCAGAAGCGCTGGGTCTGAGGGTGAATTTTGTTCAATAGAGACAGCCTTGAGCTTAGGAGATGAAGAGTTCAGCTCATCTCTTTCTATTAGACTTCTCCACTGGCCTCTGGCTTTGGCTTAAGAGGAAGTAGTCTGTATCTTTTTTACCCTAGTCTCCTTTCTCTTCCCCTGCCTGGGATGTAGGGTCCCTTCCTTGCCCACTCCAGCTGTCTACCACCTATCCCCTGGGCCAGTAGCCAGCCCTACCCAGAGTAAAGATCAGCGCTGAAAGATGTGAGGGCAGGTCCTTTGTCAAGGAGCAGGGGAGGGTTTGCCAGGCTGGGCAGATGGTGCCCTCCATTTGTGCTCTCAAGCTGGGACAGTGAGCTACAGCCCTGCACAGACAGCTTCCTGTGAGGCCCACTCTTACCAGAGTCTGCATCGTGGGCATCAGGCAGGGTCAGATGCATGCCACTCTGTTTCTTCACCATGAGACCCTCACCGAAGCTGCCATCCTTTTCCAGGCCTCTGGAAGATGAAAGGAGGGCATGTCTTAGTAAGGCAAAGGGATTGTATTCCTGTGACTAGCACAGGAGAATAAGGAAGTCTCATAGTAGCAGGCTCTGGGGTGACACATTTAGGTCCCAGAATCATAACCAGTCAGGACAACAGAGAACTAATACAAGCAGGGGGACAGACAGAGCAGCATGGGTCCAGAATCACATAGGCAGAGGAACAGAAACTCCTCATGCTATTTACTCCCCTCCACTGAGGTAGGTGGGGTCAGAAGGTCCCCCAGCCTGGGGCGAGGTTTCTTCCAGATCTGGTCAACTTCATGATATCTAGCAGAGCACCAGGCCCAGAATGAGGTCTGCAGACTGCTTGCTAGGAAAGCCTGGTCTTTGCAGGGCCCTAGAAGTGCCACAGCCAGAGTTCAGGGATGGAGGACCCACTCCCATTCCCTGTCATGGGATTCCCTTCCTCAGGTTACCAGGATGGCTCCAAAGGAGGCAAAGGGGTCTGGGTGGCAGACAAACATGTATGATTTATCTTGCCAGCCCCCACGTCGTCTCCAGGTCTCTACAGCTCCCATGTTTCTGGGGCTCTATCTTTTTGCAAACTGGGAGGTGGGAAGAGCCAGGAAGCTGTTTTAACAGTGGTTGAAACTCACTTCCCACTGACAAGAAGACTCATGACTCGATATGAGGGCTGAGGAAACTCAGAGGTGTGTAATAGCAGAAACTGGGAGGACAGGGCCAGAAAATGTCTTTCCTCTCGGGGGCATTAAGATGATTCCACAAAAAATGTCAGGGAAGGAGAGCTGGTGGCTCACACCTGTAATCTTAAGATACTTAGGAGGCTTATAGACCTGGAGGATCCTGGTTTGAAGCCAGCACAGATAGAAAAGTCTATAAGACTCCATTTCCAATTAACCAGCAAAAAGACAGTTTGGATGTAGAGTAAACCAGCAAACAAGCCCTCAAGGGCTTGAAGCCCTGGGTTCAAGCCCCATTATTGACATTATAAAAAAAAAAAAAAAAAAAAGTAGGGCTGGCTGGGAAGGTGGCTCAGTGGCAGAGTGTTTGCTTTGCATGCATGAGGCCCTGGGTTTGATTCCTCAGCACCATATAAGCAGAAAAAGCTAGAAGTGGCACTGTGGCTCAAGGATAGAGTGCGAGGCTTGAGCTGAAGTGCTAAGGGACAGCGCCAGGCCAGAGTTCAGGCCCCATGACCAACAACAACAAAAAGTAGGCTGGGTGCTGGTAGCTCATGCCTGTAATCCTAGTTACTAAGGGGGCTGAGATCTGAGAATCTCGGTTCAAAGCTAGCCTGGGCAGAAAAGTCTGTGAAACTTTTATCTCCAATTAATCACCAGAAAGCTGGAAGTGGCAAAGAACTCGTCTTGAGCTGAAGAGCTCACAGAGAGCACCCAGGCCCAGAGTTCAAGCCCCACGACTGGCCAAAAAATAAAATAAAAATAAAAATAATAAATTAATTAATTAAATTAAAAAAAAATGTATCCTGGCCACTCAGATTACAGGGGCCACAACTTGGCTTGGAAATGAGCAGCCATCTTAATGGGATCAGACACAATTTCCACCAAAGCGCAGTGGCTTAGTGTTGGTTCTCTTCTCCTACCTTTTTCCCAGTGCTAGGAGACATCAGGCTGAGAAGCCAATGAGCCAGACACACCAGGTTTAAATCATGGGACCAACTCTTCTCAGCGACCTGACTCTTCTTACTGATCTTTGAAAATATCCAGCTGTTCTGAGATGGAGATAGTCTGGGCCAGTGCCTAGCATGGTGCTGGCTTCCTATCCAGGTTCCTACTCTGTAGGAACACTTTTGGGTCTTGTTTTCTCTCCCATCCTGTGCAGGGACTTCTCCTATGGCATCAGAAACATCTGGTCTCAGAGGAATTATTTGCCACATGGTTTTAGGACAACAGGCAGCATGCTTCCTACCTTGAAGAACCTTACACCCAAGATGGGGAGATGAGATGGTCCAAGCTGAACAAGTAGCAAAGACCGGTATGAGAGGGGTGGAGTGGAGGCGGCTGAGGCTGGGTGGTTGGTGACTCCATGAAGGAGGGGCCTAGGGTGTGATGAGAACATCAAGTCAGCAATGCAGAATGGGCAGAGGAGAGCAAGGGACTGAGCAGGAGTTCAGTGGGATGTAGGCCCAGCTGAGTGCGTGGGTTAAGGTAGGCTAGACTCTAAGGCTGTGGAGTCTGGTCTTGATCCTTAACTGTTCCAAACTGGATTTCATGAGCTGTGGTTTTGTTTGTTTTTGATATGTGTCTCACTATGTGGCCCAACCTGGCCTCAAACTCCTGATCCTCCTTGCTTCTGTCAGGACTACAGGCTTGTGCTACAACTGTCTCCTCTGGTTTCTTTATAATCAGGGGCACGAGGTTCAGAAAAGACTATCCTGTCTCCTGGGAAAGCCAAAGAACTAGGTCTAGGCTTGTGAGACAAGTAGCCTAGCAGAGCCTGCCTGGGAAGGTTCCAAGATAGGCACCAAGGAGCCTCCAGCCTAGAAGGGTTCCATCCGATGTGGAGGTCAGATATGAAGTGTATGGGTAGTGATTTGAAGAGACCTAAAGGCAGACCCCATTGCCCCAGCCCCTGAGGGAGCACCAGGCAGCTAGCCCTGCATCCAACTCTTCTAAGGAAAGGCACAAGCCAGGCCTTAACTGAGCTAAGGCGGAAGCCTGCAGGGACCTCATCCAAGACTGGCCACCCGGATGAGCAACCAGCCATGCAAATAAAGACACAGATAAGGAACAGCCAATTCCAGGTCAGCTTCTCTGCAGAAGGAGGGCTAGGCTATATACCTGCTCTAACTCCTACAGCAGTGATCTAGAGAGGGAGGGGCATCTGATCACAGGTCCCTTTACACCAGAGACTGCCCTCAAGCTCCCATCACTCAGCTGCCAAGCAGCATCCCATCTCTTCATCCAACAAACACTTCTGGCAGCTTCTACTGGTCTTGCCTTGCTCTGTACAGCTCGCAGACCCCAAGCCCTGCAAAGGGAAGGCTGACTCTGCCCATGATTTTTTTTTTTTAAACTCTGGAGCCTTCTCTGTAAATTTCACCAGGAAAGAAGCTCCTCTAAGGCATTTGGAAGCCTTCTGGACTCCCAGAGTCACTGTGGAAATGTACCTAGGGAGAAATAGGTGGCCTCCAGGACCCTCTTTCTTCCTCTTCTTCCAGCCTCCAAATAGTTTCAGAAAGGGAAGGGCAGGCTCCACAGCCTAGGACTCAGGAGACTGGGCTGAAGTATAAGCACTCCACTTATCAGGTAAGGTAACCAACGAATTAGGTCAGGGCTGAGTCAGTTTCCTACTAGGCTGACAATAAAATGTGCTAATGTAGAAGAGGCAAGCAGCTGATGCTTTAGATAAAGCAACAAGTCCTACCTCATAATGGCTTCTCTACCTTCTCACCACCAAATTCAATCTGTACATGGGATCTTTATGTATGTATGTATGTAATGGAGGACTATCAAGAGGTTAAAACTGTACTATGGGTATAGAAAGTGCATGAGTACCAGTTCCACATTTTCATCCAAACATTCCCATTTTGTCAGGCATTGCAGCCACCCAACCAATGGCAACCACTGCCTGCCAACTCGACCCTCCACCCTCTAGCAACCCAGGGAACCAAGACAGCTACTCACCCCAGCTGGGAGAAGTTGTACAGTGTCTGCCAGAGCCGCAGCATTTGTCTGCAGGTCACAAGGGCATCCTCTGGACCTTTCAGTACCTGCTCCAGCTTCACTTTGGTGAACATCAGGCTGTGGGGAAGGAAAGCAGCTAGCTGTCAGCAGGCCAAGGGAAGCTTCCTTCTGAGAATGGACCCTAGGGGATTCAGCCTCACCAGGACAGTCCCAGCCTACCCAATTCCCCAGCACAGTCCAGGAGTGTAGCAGCTTCTGGACCACTTCCTTCCACTCTGTTTCTCTGACTCTCCCCATCTTTGTGCCAAAGCATGAGGCACTCTTCTGCACCTGCCAGTGTTTGTGCCATCATCATATCTCACCTTGTGCAAATGCTCTGGGGAGCACTGTCAGGTCTGACTCTCAGCCTGGCTTGGTTTGCTCCGTCTCTCACATCCTCAGTTAAGCAGTGCTACGCACGCACATTCCATCAACACGTGGCTGTGCTTTATACTTTTGTGCTCCAGAGGACCCAGGATAGAATTTGGGTAAGAGATATCCAGAAAGCAGCTTTCAAACAGTGAGGCTAAGCAAAGAACTGGCACGAAGGCCACCTTAGGGGCAGAATTCTTTCTATCTTGCCAGCACACAATAGGTGCCCAATTACAATCTCCTAAATGGACCTAGTTTGATTCTTAACCTAGGATATACTAGGAAGGTCCTGTTATATTTTATCAAAGGTTTCTCCCTTGAATTTCCTATGATAGCCAATTCCCTTAGGATCAAAGGGACATGAAATGCTATTCAATCACCACTAAGCGACAGTTGCTGTGTCATGAGTGGCTTCAGACTTTCAATCAGAAAAACTGAGTCCTCTGAAGCTGGAAGGCCCACAGGAGGGGTGGGACACAAGGACCCAGGGCCAAAGCATCAGCATGCTTGCTCACCAGGAATGGCAGTGGGCTGGGAGGTGTTGCTGTGCCAGGTATTAGCCCTTTGGTGGGCAAGACATTGACCACTAGCAATACTGACACATCCCAGATGCTTGAGCAGCCTACGGAGAGTATGGCTGAGCCACTGAGGCTTTTTAGTCATCATAACATTGCTGAGCGAATCAACAGGACCAACAGGCCTTGAACCTAACCACTGCCTGTGCAGAGCATGCCCATCTAAGGCCACCATACAGGCTTTTAGGTAAGCAAAGCTCTGCATCAGAGGCCCCCATCCTAGACTTCTCAGGCTGCAGAGGGGGTAACCCTACCAATGGAGACCTGGCCTCCACCTACTTGGAGTCTGGCTTCTCTCTCCTCTGTACTGACACCTGGGCCTTTATGTCCTTCAGCACTTCCCTTTTCATACCTTCTCTCAGACTGTGACTCACTGATTGAGAATGAAGAGGGTGGAATTTGCCCTGGTCCTCTTTTTAGAAGAGGGGTCTGGCTTCTGGGGAACATCTTACTCCTTCCTTTTCCAGAAAAATGCTTTTCCTGCCCCTGCACACCTGTCCTCCTTGCCATGGCTTCCCTCCTCCACGCTCACCCAATCCCCTAGCCTTGACCTTCATTAAATCTCACTTCATTCTCTTCCACACCCTTCACCACCTGGCTGGTCTATGAGGTCCCAAGAGAAGGAATGGGTGCCCCCAGCATATCTGGACAGGCTATAGCCTGAGCAGGGACAGGTCTCAACGCCTGGTGGCCAGTGGCACCATCTGCTCTCCCTTCCCAGACTGTCCCAGGATCCAGCCCTCCACCAGCAGTTTTAGGCGCCTCTGCTTTCGGGAATATGAAGTAAAAGACACAATTTCTGCCCTCAAGGTAACAATTAGAGTGCTATAAATGTCAAATTGCCCAGAGAATCCAATGCTTATTTTGGGGCCAGACTCAGTACGAGGAAAAAACAGAGAGGGTCTTGCTGTAGCTCAAGTCTGGATGAAAGGAAGGTGGAGGGTGGGGTGAGATTTGAGTGGAAGTGGGAGAGAGAAGTTTGGGCTGGGCAGGACTGAGGGTTCGAGCAAAGAATGTTGGGGAAGGGCCAGACCCAGTCTCTAACCACCCCTTCCCTTAGGTAACCAGAGAAGCAGAGTCCTTGGACAGGTGACTTTGGGCTATGCTGGGACAGTTTCCAGTCCAGCCCTGAGACATTACTGGACTCTCCAAAGACTCCTCTTGACAAGGGTCCCTGTCCTACTTTTGCCCCTGCATCTGAGAGCCAGGCTGTGTTCTTGGCAGACCAGCTGATCAGGCACCTTGTGCCCAGGACAGAAGGGACTGAAAGCTGAGCTGGCATGTTCATCATAGTAGCCTCTATCAACACAGGCTGTACCCTCCTGGCAGCTGACATTCCATTAGCATGAGTGGCCCAGAGTGGAATTTCTCAACCCAACCACATCCTCTCTGAGCCCAGCAAGTGCTCCAACAGACACTTTCTGGTCTGATATTCACTCCTGCATCCTGAGGCTCCAGATTAGCTCCTGATTTCTCCATAGTTGGCAGTTGAGCATTGCCAAAGGGATCTTCCTGCATGAAGAGGCCTGCCTGCTAAACGTTCATGCCATCCACCTGTGCACCTTGGTGGTGTGGCCTTCAGGGCCTTTCAGTTAGGCCTCTACCTCTCATTCCTATTGCTCTCCTATGGCCTGGGGCTGATCACATGGATGCTAACAGCTCTTAAGAGTCTTATTAGCACAGGCTCCAGGACTTGTCTGTTCTTTGCTTCCCATGGTGACATCTGCTAGAACTTGTCCTTCCCTCTCCCACATCCAGATGTCACTCTCAAACTTTTTCTGTGTGTGTGTGTGTCCCTGAGCACTGCACACATACATAGCCCCTTCCAGGACAGTTTTCAATGTGTCTGGAAGTGGGTAGCTGATAGCTTGCCTCTAATTTACTGCTAGACCCTTGCTTGAAATGAACCAGCAACCAACTCAGGGCCTCACAATTAATTCAGCTCTGGGCTCTGCTCACTATGTTATCCACGGCCAGCTCTCTGGGAGTACTGTTTCCCTCCCACCCAGTCCTCTGGAATTGGTAGCCATGAGCCACCCATGTGCTCTGGGCTGTATTTCAGATGGAGGTCTAGTGTGCCACTGTGAATTGTGGGTGACACTTTGGGACTAATAAAACTGGGGAGAGTTAGTTGTAGCCATGGCCTTATCAGAACTCTGTGCTTCCTGAGTATGGCTGAAGATGCTGCTGGCAGTGGAGCAGGACAGAGGATAAGCCTGGCTCCCCATTCCTGTCAGGTACCTTATATATACAGGGAGTCTAAAATCCACTATTGTATCTGGGCATGGGAGTACACACTGTAATCCCAGTACCCAGGAGGCTGAGGTAGAAGGATTAAGAGTTTGAGGCCAGCCTCGGATACATAGCATGATCCTGTTGCAAAACAAGGTAAAACAAACTAAAGAAAACAGACAAAACTAATCCTGAAGCTACAGTCCACCAAAAAGGCTCTATGTGACCACCATGCCCTGAATGCCTGATACTATGTTCAGTCAGCACTTGATTATATCTTCTCTGTCTCTATATATACACAGGCTGCAGAGTTTAGTACAAAAGGTACACTTGTACCAAGCATTTCCAGTCACTCCAGAAGCAGTCTACAGTAGTAGAACCTACCACTTATCTTGTCTGAGTCCATTATACATGCCCACATGGATGGCAAGTACCTGTGGCCCATCTCCTTAGCACTACTGTCTGCCCCACTTCCTCAATACCTGGCTTGGTGCTGAGCACTGGTATCTGCTTAGTACTAGAGTCTGGTTGTATGACTTCTTATAGCTGTAGTGGGTACAGATTCATAGCCGAAGGCAAAGCACTAGCCAATTCCATTCCAAATTGTCCATAGGCAAAGACTTATTCCACAGGAGACAGGTACTGAGGAGAAACAGCATGTTCTAGGTATCTGGCTCCTCCTGAATAGGGAAGGGACAGGAAGAGGGTCTTCTTCCCAGGGACAGTCACAGGGCAAAGATGGAAAGAATGGAGAGTCTCCCAGAATGGAAGACAATATTCAGGAAACAAAAAGACATTCCAGGAGAGAGATGGTCTGATTATCATCCTCAAACCCTAGACTATGAACAGACACTGATCAGAGAATCAGAAACCTAAGCCCACATTCCACTCCTTTGCCACCCAGCTAGGCATGTGACGAGTATCACACCTGTAAAACAGGAGTGAAGTCACACAAGGCTGAGCTCTGAGGACCCTGGGCAGCATTAGTAAACCCCACAGCAATGTGTGAGTCTCTCCAGTTAACAGCCCGCCCTGATGCTCCAAGGACCTCCTGCTTCAACACTTTAGGCTTGCTGGACCCCAAGGGCACCTCTGGATGCCCTAGCAAGCTCTTCAGTTTCTTGGCTCATTCATTAGGCCCTGTAGCCCCTAGCATGACATGGTTCTGGGTCAGATAGCCTCAGCTGCGACTCATCCTCTTGTAAGCATTTTCTAGTCCCCTTAAAAAAAAAACACATTTTTTTCCCATGAGATAATATATGTCAGTATGTTGCCAAGCTGGTCTTGAACTCCTGGCTCAAATGATCCTCTTAGCTTCCCAAGTAGCTGGGGGTGGGAGTTGGGGGTTGGCCTTAGCTCAAGCACTCTCAAGCACTTTCATGGTGCACTTTCAGCCAAGTAGCTAGGACTTCAACCAGCTTTGTACTGTTTTCATTTTGTTTCAAGCTAAAGAGAAAGAGGACCATGTGGAGAAGCTAAGCCTATTTATGATACCCACAGGCTCCCGTACAGGGAGATGTGAAAGTGGGTGGTTTCTTTGGGGAGGGAAGGAACAGAGGGCATTGTGAATACTGTTCTATTCCACTGCTGGGATGAACAAATCTTGAGATATACCTCATTCCTGGCATTCTCTAGCTCAGTCTAGACATTGTGGCATGTGTACTCGGTCCAAAGTAGGGAGCCAATGTGCACACAGAAGCCCACTGTCTAGGAGCTCAGCCCTTCTTAAAAATGCTACCTGTGCTAGGCACTAGTGGCTCAGCTACTCAGGAAGCTGAGATCTGAGGACAGTGGCTTAAAGCCAGCCTATTCAGGAAAGTCTGTGAGATTCTTATCTTCAATTAACCACCAGGGAAAAAAAAAGCTCAGGGATAATACTCAAGCCCTGAGTTCAAGCCC